TATTCTCAAGAAGATGTGTTGTGAAGCAGCCTTCTCCAGCTCGGTGTTCTTCAGATGTGTTGGACCTGGAACTCCAAGAATTCCATACCTTTGACCATGAAAAGTGAGAACTCTTGAAATTGCTCCTCTAGTATATCTGGAGTTTCACTACCAATTTGGGGAAACTATAATGGAGTCTTATGGTTGCTTGATGCTTTCCTGCTGGCTGATGATCGCTGGTGGTGTGTGTGTGTGTAGTAATATACCTGTCAACATTGGAGTAACTATAGGACTGTATATGTTAGCCAAGCTTGGAATGTTTATCAGTTGTTTTCAGTTTTTGCCTTTCCAAATGGAGACATTTTTTATTGAGCGGTAAGAGAAAAACTAAACGTGACCAATCTATCTATAGCGGGGAGAAAAGTAAGCCTGTCAGGAAAGTATGATAGAAGTTGCATATCTTTTAGTAAGTGATGTATTTATTTCTTGCCCAGCTCTAACCCTGGTGAACTCATTAGTTTTATTCATGAGGAAGTTCACAGAAATTCATTTATCTTTTTAGCGGGTGGTAGTTTTGCAAACTTTGAGAACTCCTGTACTGAGCCATTTTTAAAAGAACTGTAGTTTACTGACCTGGCCATAATTAGTTAGATTCACACCATCCTATAAATCAAATATACTACATCGGTTGCAAATATAACACTGAACTATGGTTTAACGCTGCATAGTTAGATTCAGGGACTTCCTTTCTTTGATGTGTTTATAAGGGGATCATAATCAGCTTTTCTTTCCATTTTCAACTTTTGATATTATGGTCCTTTGATTTATTTCCTTCCTCTGGCAGGAGAATGAGATTTTGCTTTTGCCCCGTTCCCTTCCTGAATGCTCACAACTACTTGTATGTTTTGACATCAGGTACGAATAAACACAGGGAAAAATACTACTTTAAAATTCAGTGAAAAGAAAGAAGAAGCAAAACGGAAACGGAAGAACAGCAATGGAAATGGACATGGGACGACGGAACTGCCAAATATTAAAACGCCAGCAGATATTTATCGGTATGAACATTGTGAACATTAACGTCCTGCAAAGGATGCATGTGTGTGTATTTGCAGCTCACCTTAACTGAATTGAAATAATATGTCCACAGGAAGTCCTTGATTTATAATAATTTGCTTAGTGACTGTTCGAAGTTATACACTTCAGACTGAAAAAAAAAAAAAGTGGGACAACTGGGCCTTGCACTTTATAACCATCGCAGCATCTTCACATTCCCCACAATAATGTGATCTAAATTGGGCTGCTTGGCAACCAGCCTGTAGTTTCGGTGGTTGCAACATCCCAGGGTCATGTGTTCGCTACTTGCAACTTCCCAACTGACTTTTGACCAGAAAAATCAGTGGGGAAAGCAGGATTTGCTTAGTGACTGCGTGAGTCACTTAACGTGTGGTTGTCCCGAAGGTGCTTTTTTCAAGAGGCAACTGGACTTCCTGGGCTTTTTCTTTTGAAGACATTTCGCTTCTCATCCAAGAAGCTTCTTCAACTCTGAAGCATCTTCTTCAGACCTGAAGAGGCTTCTTGGATGGGAAGCGAAGCATCTTCAAAAGAAAAACCAGGAAAGTCCAGTTGCCTCTTGAAAAAAGCACCTTCAGGACAGCCATGACCTGGATGACTGAGAACCTCCATAGAAATTGAACATGTGTTTTGCTTAACAACTGTGGCAAAAAGATCATAAAATTCAGGCGTGGCTCAGCCACAGAAATTCTAGCCCTCCTTGTGGGGCAGAAATTGAGGAGGGACTATCTGTAATGTCTTCCTGCAGCTTTAACATCTTTTTAGGCCTATATGTTTTGTGGTTTTCATACTTAATAGTTATTTATCCTATAAATGATCCAATAAAATGACATAAAGGGATTTGGGAAAACAATTAAACCCCTGGTTCATGTTATTTGCCTGCCAGTTTGGGGACATTTAACAGGTATTGCTTTAATATTTTAAAATGCAGATTATTAAGAGAAAATTGAGACACTGCCTGTTTGGAACCTAAAACAAGGAATAGTCAGCATAGTAAAATATTAAAAATCATACAGAGATTGTGGGTCCTCAGTAAGATTTCTCATTTTCAAGTTAGGAATCCGTGTTCGTAATATTTCCTGCAGCTTTTTAAAGAATAGTTTCTCAATTGAACAGTGAATTAAGATAATTGGAGAGTATTTTAGAGATAATCTTTATGGGGGCAGAAACCTAGTTTGAAATGGAACATGGAATCAGTCAGATTCTATGTTCCATTCTCACATTCATATGTCTGTCTTAGCATCTGTAAGGGCTGAATCTGGTGAGATGATACCCAGCAAGAATCCAAGCTAGAGATGACTTATGTAAACATGACTGGTTGTCCAGGATCCTTTGCAAACCAGCAATTATTGTTTAACTCAGAAACGTGGGAGGAGAATAACTACAGTTGAACTATGAAGCACAGAGTGTAAATTATCAAGTTTAAAGCATAACAACGTTGACTTATTTATATGCAGAGGACATATGATTTACTTGTACGGCTTTATTTTTGTCTGATATCTATTAATCTAGCCAAGTCAAGTTAGAGAGTCTTCAGGCTGAGTAAGCCAATTCCTGAATAAGAGGTTCAATTTTGCGGAGGTGATGTTTACTGCCAAATTTTGGTGTGAAGCCTGACCTTCTAGGCCAATGCTTGTATTAGAGCTGGGGACCTTGGAGGTATTCTAGTCCAACCTCTGCCCAGGCAGGAAACCCTATACCATTTCAGACAGATGGTGGTCCAATCTCTTCTGGAGGCAAGCCATTCCACTGATTAATTGTTCTTACTGTCAGGAAATTTCTTCTTAGTTTTAGGTTGCTTCTCTCCTTGATTAGTTTCCATCCATTGCTTCTTGTCCTTCCCTCAGGTGCTTTGGAGAATAGCTTGGCTCCCTCTTCATTGTGGCAGCCCCTGAGATATTGGAACATTGCTATAGAGTAGAGTAGAGTAGAATAGAATAACGATAGGATAGGATAGGAATTAGAATAGAATAGAATAGAATAGAATACTTTATTGACCAAGTGTGATTGGACACACAAGGAATTTGTCTTGGTGTAAGTACTCTCAGTATACATAAAAGAAAATATACATTCGTTAAGAATCAAGAATCACAAGGTACAACACTTAATAATAGGGTTAGGGCTATCATGTCACATCTCATCCTCTATTTTAATAGACTAAATGTACCCAATTCCTGCAAATGTTTTAGCCTCCTGCCCTCGAATCATCTTCGTTACTCTTCTCTGCACTCTTTCTAGAGTCTCAACATGTTTTTTTACATCGTAGCGACCAAAACTGGATGCAGCATTCCAAGTGTGGCCTTACCAAGGCCTTATAAAGCAGTATTAAGACTTCACTTGATCTTGATTCTATCCCTCTGTTAATGCAGCCTAGAATTGCGTTGGCTTTTTTGGCAGCTGCTACACATTGCTGACTCATATTTAAGTGATTGTCCACTAGGACTCCAAGTTCCCTCTCACAGTTACTAGTACTGAGTAAGGTATTACCTATACTGTACCTGTGCATTTCCTTTTTCTTGCCTAAATGTAGAACCTGACTTTTTTCACCCTGGAGTTTCATTTTGTTAGGAGAGGCAGAACAACATTTGGTTTGCCGAGTAGGATTCATTGATCTTGGGTATCTTTTTTTAAAAAAAAGGATAAAGGAGGAGCAGGTAAACCCGTAGTGTAATTAATTTGTCCCAAAGATGGAGTGAAATTATGGTGAATTTGTCATACGCTTCTCTCCTCGCTTTCTTCCAAATACTTTATTAAAGCTAACATTTGTCCTTTTGCAGAGTCTTTGTTGATGTTGTGAATGGAGAATATGTCCCTCGTAAATCAATTTTGAAGTCTCGAAGCCGGGAGAACAGTGTTTGCAGCGATACCAGTGAGAGCAGCAACGCCGAGTTTGACGACAGGCGAGGAATTCTGAGAAGCCTGAGCTACGAGGACGCGACCCATAGCGACAACAGTGAGGGCATCTTAGAAGAGGAGGAGGAGGAGGAACAGCGGGAGCAAAACTCCCTTTCTAGAAAAGCACCTCCCTTGTCAGGAATGTATGAGGTAAAGAGAAGGCCCCAGTTGCTCTCTCTCAGCCCAGCCCTCCTCATGGGATTGTCGTTGTGGGGAAAACTGGAGGAGGAAAGAACATTATGTACGTTTGCCGCCTTGAGTTGTCTATAAAAACAATAAGGTTGGGATAATAAAAACCAAATAAACAAACAACGATTCTTGGAACATTTTCCCCCCTCCAATTTCAATCTTGGATTGTGCCCAGCAGAAGCCAAGGTTGATAAAACCGTGAATGGTTGCATGACCTTCATTTGGGACTTTTGAAAAAAAAAGAGAGAAAGAAAGGTAATTTGACATTGATGAGATTATTCCAGGAATGTCTTCTTTTTCTTGCAGGCTTTCTCAGGGACGGTTGTCGAGAAGGAACCTTTGTCGCCCTCCACGATACCACATCCGGTCCTTGCTCACCCAGTCCTGCCAACCATTTTGGAGCGGAAATCTGAGGAGATTCTCTGCGAAGCTTCAGAAGATACGACAAAGAGAGTTTCAAAATTCAAAGCTGCCCGAATGCAACAGAAAAGCTAGTGCCCATGTAAAGAGCGGACTTGGTTCATTGTCACGAAAACGCGTGGCAAGGGATGGTTTGTATCTAGCTAGTAAGACGGCAGGTTGCTTTGACGTCATATTGTTCATACTTAGACCTCCTGTTGATATTCCTTTTTTTTTTTTAAAGAAAGAAGCAAATCTGTGAAGAAGCATTTCAGAAACCTCCTTATTTTCTTAATATCCCCCGTGTGCAGTCAGCACCTTTATACATGTTTGCCTTACGATAACAGCACATGGGATAATTTTCAAGAGAATAATTCTCATGAAGCTTTTTGGTTGTGCGCATTGAAAGCTAAACGCAAGCAGTTTTGTACCAGATGTGAAGTTAAAAAAATATACCATTTGGGCTGCTTGAAAGAAACTTCTCAACTTTCAGGTAGAACCAACCATTCTATTTCACGACTCGCTTCATAATGTTTTAAGGCTCTCTCTCTCTCTCTCTCTCTTTTTCTCGCCTCTCATATCCCTTATTGTTTTGAAAGGTTTGCTTTTTAGGTGTCTGCTGACAAATCATTTTTTTCCCACAGGTAGGAAACTTCTGATGATTTAGTTGTATAGAATCTATGAAACAGAATGCCACGTTCATGTATTTTGCAGGGATGTTTCTTTGAAAGGGAAAAAAAAATGTATTTTATAAAATTAAACTTTTCGAGTAAAAACCGAAGAGAAGTGGAGATGTTTTTTCCTCAGTGTTCTCATGTTGAAGCTTCTGGAAACATTTTATGACTTTTCTAAGGGAAATCCATGGACCTTTTTTCTTTGGTTTGGAACTACTGTGTGTTAATGTCAGGGGCCACTGGGTATTCATGAAGAATTTTCAGTTTGTGTTTGCAAACATACACCCTTGGTGCAAGTTAAGGATATTGGCTTTTTATTATTCTAAAGCAAGATCTTTATATGCATCCTGTAGCCATCCTGAAGACTTTAGAACAAGGGTCTTCAAACTTGACAACTTTTAAGACTTGTGGACTTCCACTCCCAGAATTCCTCCTCCAATCATATGAGCTCAGGAATTCTGGGAGTTGTTGAAGTCCACAAGTTTTAAACTTGCCAAGTTTGAAGAGCCCTGTTCTAAAGTCTTCAGGATGGCTACAAGATGCATATGAAGATCTTGTGACACGAATGAGCCTACAGGAGTTGGTAGCATCTACTTGACCTTAGCTGATCTTGAAAAGCTAAGTAGGATCAATATAATTAGTATTTTGGATGGAGCACCAACAGGAAAACCCAGAGCTATAGATTAAGAGAGGTAAGTAATTAAAGATAGATGTAAAGGTTTCCGTTGTCTAGTTGTGCCTATCTCTAGGGGGTGGTGCTCATCTCTCTTAGCCAAGAGAGCCAGCGTCGTCTGAAGACATTTCCGTGGCCATATGCCTTCGCATGACTGCATGTCCAGGCACATGGAAAACTGTTACCTTCCCACCAAAATGGTACTCGCATTAGCATGCTTTTGAACTGCTAAGTGGGCAGGAGCTGGGGCAAGTAACAGGAGGTCACCCTGTCATGCAGCACTCAGGTCTTGAACCCAGGTTGTCAGCTTTCCAACTGAGAAGCTCAGCATCTTTAACCCACTGAGAGCCATCGTGGGTGATGAATTTTGAAGCAGTCGAAGACCGAGAAGCTACTGTATGAGGTTCCAATTATTGCTACAGGTATAGTGTTGGAATGAGAGGACCATTTGATTTTTGAGTAAAATTAAACACAAGCATCCCACAAACTGAGATCAACTCCTGGTGGGTACAAGAGAATATTTGTGTAGTTTTCCTGGAAATGAAATAAAAGGGCCTTGTTGCTTTACATCATCTGACAGTTCCCTAATCTTCAGCCAGTAGGGAAGGAGGTCTGAAGAGTGTATGTATATATACTATTGTCATCCTGATCATTCAAATAAGTCCCAGATTATATGAAGAACGATCAGGTACAAGTGAATTTAACTCTGTCTGAATGAGAGCCGGTTTGGATCTAGTGGTAAAGGCACCAGCCTAGAAAGTGGGAGGCTGTGAGTTCAAGTCCCACCTTAGCCACAAAAGCCAGCTGGGTGACCTTGGGCTAGTCACTCTCCCAATCCACCTTACAGGTTGGTTGTTGTGAGGAAAATAAGAAGAGGAAGAAGTATTGGATAAAATTAGCCAGCTTGAGTTATTTGTAAAAATAATAAAGGTGGAATACAAATAAATAACATGTATGAAAATTAGAAAGGGCATATTATATGTTCAACACCAGCCTTTCCATACTGTAAGCTTTCTAAGTATGCAGAGAAATACCTAAAGTGAGCAGATGAGTACTCTGATGTAAAATATTGTTTCCTTGGCAAGGAAGATAGGAGAAAGATTAGGCATGCCAGAATGACTGAGTTCACACATGGTACTAAGCTGAAGATTTGCTCTGCATAATCTACCAAGCCCTGATTTTTTTTTGTTAATGGCTGTTGGAAAAATAATACTCCAATGCCATATTGTTGTCTATACCTACCAAGTTCAGAATCATGCACAGATATTCCCCGTGACACTCTATGGAAGCAAAAGTTGGATTTTGAAGAAACGAGATAGAAGGAGTATCGTTACTATTCAACTCTGGTGTTGGAGAAGACGCCTGAGAATAGAAACCAAGAAAACAAACCAATGGATCATCAAACAAATCAACCCATAGTTCTTACTCAAGGCACAAATGACCAGATAAGCATACTTCAGACATATTATGCGAAGACCCAGCTCTTTAGAGAAGGCTCTGATGCTGGGAAAACTGGAAGGAAAGAGTAGAAAAGGGTAACCAGCAGGCTGGAGGATGGACTCAAAGGGTTGATGGGGACGTCGTTGGGAATGTTGAAGGACCAAGTTATGGAGAAGGTCTGCATATAATAATTTGTTTGGAGTTTGCACATAAGTCGTGATTGACAAACCAGTGAGTATCTTTTAACACATCACATTAAGCCAAGAGTGTCGAACTCAAGACCTGGGGCCCGGACCCAGTCCAGGGGGTGCTTAGATCTGGCCTGCAAAGCTGCCCCGAGACAGCGATGCTGCCCTCCCGAGCTCCGTTTTCGCTGACAAGAGAGTTGCAAGAGGCTGTCACAGCCAAAAACGGAGCTCGGGAGCCAATTTTCTCTGGTCGTGCACTCTGACCACCACAGGCGTCCCCCCCCCCCCCCCACAGTGACGTCGAGCTGGCCATGCCCACCCTGGCCCCCTGAGGTCAAACACAACCCTGATGGGGCCCTCAATGAAATTTGCACCTAGCCAAAAGCAGATTAGCCCCATTTTTTTTTTGTTTTTGGCTTACCATATGGGATTCAGCCACGAGTGCCATATGGTTTCTGTGTCAATTGATGTCTATGGGAAAAACTAATCTCTGTAGAGGCCTCCAGTGCTACAACAAAAGTAAGTGTTTGGATTGCAGTAATGATGACCCCCTTCTCAATTGGGGGGAAGGAAAAAAAAAACCTCACACAAAACCAAAAAAACCCCCCTGATGGTCCAAATTCTATTTTGCCCTCCTCTTGACTCTTTTTTTGGGGAGAAAAGGGTGGTGATTGGAGTGTAAGCTTGCAAACAGACATCTTAATTGGATATCTCAAACCTTTTTGGAGGTGTTAATCATTAGCTTGATACATGCTGAAATGTAGATTTTATGGCTCCAAAGCATATTGCGTTAGTACTAAAATAAGCCATCAATGCCAGTCCACCCTCTATTCACGGCTAAATATTTAAAGGAGGTTATTTATAGCTTCTTTAATGAATTCTTGGCTAAACAAAATGAAATTATGTCCTAGAAAAATAGAAGCTATTTTGTAACCAGAACAGTGCATCTATAAAATACAGTGCTATGAATATGTATTTTAAATAACAAAAGGGGGCGAGATCTAATCTGCCAGAGCTGGTTAATTAGAAAAAATATTGGTCCTAATCCTGAATGTTTGTATATACAGTAAATTTCAATGTTTGTACCTGAAGCCTAACTGCTTTGTTATACTTTTTCATCCTTTTCCAGTTGCCATTATCAGATTCTCTAGGATTTTTCCTTTTCTTTCAGTGTTTGGCCATCTTTAAATTGAAGTATCATATTAATGACCTCTAGGTGCACATTGTGTTAATCTTTGATTTGTTTAATCATGGTTTATTGAGTAAATCACAGTTGGGTAGGTTCATAAAATCTCTTTTAAGTCACAAACCATGAGTTATAAACTACAGATCATCTTTTAAGTTACAATCATTGGTTTAGTGACTGTTCGAAGTTACAAAGGCAATTAAAAAAGTGATTTATGACCATTGTTCACACTTAGGATTATTACAGCATCCCCATGGTCACATGATCAACATGAGGACGCTTGGAAACTGGTACATGGTTATGACCGTTTCAGTGTCCTGAGGTCTTGTGAAATTAATAACCGAGTTATTAATTCAACAACTGCAGTGATTTACTTAACAACAATTATGGCAAGAATGGGGCTAAACTCAAATAACAACTGTTGCTCTTAGCAACAGACATTTTGGCCTCAATCATGGTCATAAGTCGAGGACCTCCTATACAAGGTTGGATTTGCCAAAGCTAAGGAAAACAAAATCCTGTTCAGCTTAGCCTGTTGTATGACCAAGGTATAATCAAACATCATTGTTGCTGAATAAACTAATTGAGTTGGCCAGGTAAAATTTTAAACCAGAACCAAACAAAACACTGGATGGTTGAACAGAGTGCCTAAACTCAACCTTGCCAAATTTTGGCTTAGTATTAAGTTTTATCTGAGCAGTCCTATCGGCTTAAACTGAATCTTTGTAAATTACACAGTAAAACATTCTCAAAGGAACTAATGCTTAGTGAAGCTTCCCAACCTTAGATGGTACGTTAATATAAACCCATTTTCTATCAGGTATGCAACCCAATGGCATCATCTGCAGGAAATGAGAGAGGCATGAAACAAAGAAGAAATAATAATAGTAAATACACCAATACACCAATAATCAATAATCAAATGAACCCAAGGAATCCTTGCAATGGTAAATGAAGAGGGGGAAAGACAATTGTTTTAATGCTGTTTAGGTCTGGAGGAATGTTAGCCTACAAAAGCAAATGGATTTTTTTTATTAATGTTGGTTTTTTTTTACAAGAATATAGTTCCCAACAATTTTTTTAACTCTCGGTGACTTACATTTCAAAATAGGAGCTAGGCTTAAAAGAAAGGGTATGAGTGAATGTTTGGTATGCAGTATTTCTGTGTTACAAATAGCTCTTTCTAACCCACATTAACCCCATGATATGTGAATTTTGCCAACTCCCACTGTGTCTTTTAAATCAAATCCAGCACGTCCCCAAGTGTGCTCTAATTTCTAAACGAACTCATCCTCTGGTGGAAATCCTTT